CTTCAAATCCAGTGACAAAATGCAATTGTAAAATTTGACTAAAAATAGCCAATTTCAACAACGTCTGTCAGGCCAGTTAAAGCCTGCTGGGCCATTCTATATTGATAAAATTGTTCTTTAATACTTGAATTATAGTCATTAAACCATCAAAACTATCTACGATCAGTTTTGAATCTGTCGCAAAGTGATGAAATTGACCATGGCAACGGCATTGTCTGCGGCTAATTATAGCCTTCCGGAGACAAATTCTTGATTTCTGATATTTGTACGTTTATCGACCAAATATTGAATATCTAACCCAAACACCATTTATAACTAGGTATTACCTAAATTTGAGCAAAATATGAAAGAAATCTATTTTTCATCTATTGCCACTGTTTGCTTGATATTTACTGACAGTCGCTCTTAAAGTGCAATATATAATTCCTGTGCAACATGCAATAATATCAACAATCAAATTGATAAGTTGTGAAATCGATAAATGTTAATGTGTCGTACCTAAAGTTAGTATAATATTGGAATGTGTTCATTAATCTCTTATCCAGAACAATCTTCCGAAGTGCTTTGTGAGCTGAATCATCTTTCTGAAGCCAAGGTTTTTCTCGTTCAACACCATCCAATGGCTCATGATCACATTTCCCATTATTGCCACCTTCTGTTTTGACCCATTCATGTTCATCAACAATGTGATGCAACAGGCGAATCCATTTATCCTGTACGTTGCAGGAACAATCTCAAAGGAAATACTGTAGTTACTGTATTTTTGTTTCTGCAAGAGTCTCAATGTTTCATGAGAATACATATAGGAAAACATTGAAGATTCGAGGGGAAACAAAACTATTTCCTGAGGTAACGGACATTAATTAAGTGTTTTGTTATATAGCGACGAAAGAATCAACAACATTGATACAATTACAACAATTGTATTTCATGCCAAAAAAATCCATTGATAAATTGCATTTATCTGAATAAGCCAATCGTTACTGCCCCTCTTTATATCCCTTGATCATGTTAACAGTTAAACAGACATATTTTATGGGCACTTATCTTTGAATACTGTATTCATTAAATACTATATTCATTAGTAAGAGCAAATTGCACCAGCACAATGTCAGTTATTTAATAAGTAGTGCATTTTTGCTAGCTATTTATGTAGATGACAAACAGGATTAAGTCCTAAAGATGTACAGGGCTTTCCTCTGGGGGCGCACGATCGCGGCAGCGTGCGCCCCCACACGCGCCCACGTGAATCGCGCAAATTTGATTTTGAAGGAGAATCGCGCGTTACAATTTTGACACACAGTGAATTAAGATATCATGTAACATAACCAAGTTTCATTTGACAGTTTAGAGCTTTACACTATTAATTAAACAAAGAGCGCATATTGTCGGTATTCTTCCAAAGTTAGGGTGTTTACAATTTGAATATGGCCACCAAAGGCAATAAGGTCGATCTGGCAACTTTTATGAAGTGGGGGAAAGATGGTATTATTGGCTATAAGACGATCAACGAAGGGCAACGCGTGTGTGTTAATTTTGTTTGGTGCAAAGTTTGCCAGCGCAACGAAAATGCTTTGTTTCAACATTCAAACTGCAAAGGGCCTGTTAAGAAATCAGTCAAATCATATATCGAGGGAACAAATTTTGTAAGCAAGCACACAGTCAATCGGCATCTGGAGAGTGAAGGCCATCGTATTGCTGTCCAGATAGAAAGCACGCAGCCTGCAAGTGAAAGAGTCATTTCACAACCAAGTGATGGCAAGGTAATTCTACTTTCAATTATAACATATTTTTACATTTCGTTGAAAAAGTATTAAACTGATTAAAAGGCCCGTTTAAACAAGCTATTTTTTCCTTCGACTTTTGCTCATAACGTTGATCGCCAGTGGCAGTGCAAATACCCTGAGATTTCACTACAAATTGGTGCATCGTCGTTATACATGTAGCTGTTGAAAACAGTTTCAATGGTCCAGGTTTTATACAGCATAGGCATTCTTTAGTTTGAGACTCGTTTTGGATATATATTAATATATAATGCTTTATACTGTATGCTGTCAAATTTAAATCTATATATATATATATATCTCAAAATGTAAATTGGCGACAAACAGTCTGGGACGTTTTTCGTGAAGCCAATCACTTTTGAGAAAAAAGCCGTAAGGCGTAAACAACCGAATTAGAACAAAATGTTTGCATTACTGATAAATCACTTTAAATAAATAAACGTGTAATATCTTTGTTCGCTTAATGTTGTTTTTTCTCTGGTTGTGTGTTGCTAGTCTGTCAATACTAACTGTGGTCAATAACACGATAATAGTAATGCGGATTTGGATTTACCGTTCAGGCTTTCAGTTTCCGGTGATTGTTTATGCGTTGAAACACAAAACAAACAAGTTGCTCAGTTTTCATTTTATAGTCAAATGCATAATATAGCTAAACATGCAGGCCAAGGGCATGGTTGTTCAAATTATCTTTTGTTTTTATCTGCTATTTTTAGATTGTGTGATATAAAAATAAATACAGATTTCGTTAATTTTTCATGAAGTCGCGTGTTTATCTTAAAATTTACTCATATTAGTAAAACAATCAATCCTGAAAGTGAAACGCTAAATCGAAATGCCCCTGGTAACATCATGTGCGCTTTGCTAATTATTCAAAAGCTTGGCCTTATTTAACAAACAGAAAAATCGGTTTTACAGATTCAGACATCACTGACATCTTGCCTTAAAAAATCAACGAATGATGCATATCGAAGGCTTATGAAATGTGCGTATGAAATGGCTATGGAGCCGACAATGCCGCATCGCCATTTTAACGTGTTGATAAAATGTGTAAAAGCCAACGGTGTTCGACTTATCGAGAGAACCGAGAATGGAAGAACGGGACGGGAATTCATCCACTGTATTGCTGAAGCTGTTCAAGAAAAGTGTGCAGTCATCCTGGCCAGCACAGATTTCTTCTCAATTTTAAGCGACGGAAGTCAAGCCCGCAAAACAAAATCAGAGAAGGAACTTGTCCTAATTCGCACAGAGAGAAATGGCATACCGGTGTACATAGTGGCAAGCCTCCTTAAAATGGAGAAATTCGGTGGTGGAAGCGCTGATGCAATTGTCAAAGGCATTAACAGCTTATTTGAAGAAACTGCACAATATGAGTTGCCAACCGAAGCGTACCGAGGGAAACTTGTAAGCTGTACTGCGGATGGTGCGAGTGTCAACACTGGGAAATATCGTGGAGTTCTCACGCAACTGAAACGTGATCGACCATGGTTGTTAACTATCCATTGTGCAAACCACCGGATCGAACTTGCAGTGAAGTCGTCTTTGAACATCGCAGAATTTGAAGCTGTGGAGGAATTTTATAGAACAAACTATCAACTTTTAAAGAACTCTGGTAAGATTAAAGCGCAAGTTGCTGAATGTGCACGAAACCTTGGAATCCATTATTACCAACTGCCTAAGATCCACGGTACTCGTTTCGTGAATCATCGCCGTCGAGGTTTCAAGAATTTACTTGAAACGTGGCCAGCCTACACCCTGGCCTACGAGAATGCAGTGGCTGACACCCAAGGAGGGACAGCCAACACACGTGCCAAGATTAGTGGCCTGTTGAAGAAGTTCAAATCGTATTCCTTCATGTGCTCCGTCGACGTGTATTTGGACTTACTGGAACAACTTGCCCCAACGTCCATGGTATTTGAAGCGGATACCCTTATGCCATACGAAGTTTCGTCGGCTGTAACCAGAACCATTTTGCAGCTGCGTGAAAAAGAAGATGAAATCGGAAAAGAAGGAGAGTTCCTTGATAGTTATGCTGCTCGATACCATATTACGGAGGACGGTGTTGCCAAAGGCCAGTTCGTGAAGGCAGGACACAAGAAGAAAAAGAAGCAGAACCGAGAATATGTTACAGTCGAGTTCCAAATGAATGGCTTTGACAGGGATCAATGTTTGGAAAAGGTGCGTAACATTAAGAAGAAAGTAATTCCTGTGGTTATTGCGACTTTGAAAGATCGCTTCGCGTCGTATGATGATGAGATCTTTTCCAAAATGCAGTGGATCGACCCGGCCTTTTGGACCTCAGATAAAGAATTTGGAATTGAAGACATCCTGAGCCTCGCTAGTCACTTTGAAGAGCCTCTGTCACTCGCATCTTTTGATACTTCCCGTGCCTTGAAGGAGTGGAAAAGCTTCAAGATTTTTGTTAGAAGCCACTACTCGAAATTGCCTGAAGCGAAAACTTTGTGGCAGTCAGTCTTATGCAATCGTCGCCAAGAATTTCCGAATCTCTGCAAATTAGCTAGCCTTATCGTAAGCATTTCTGGCTCAAATTCGTCCATTGAACGAACATTCAGCGTTGTCACAAACATCTTGTCGGATAAACGCCTTTCTATGCACCACAACACCATTAATGAGGCCTTGGTTGTTTATGGAAACGACAGCTTGTGGAGCACAGAAGAAAGATAGGCAATTATAGACTGGGCGGTCGAGATATACCTCAAAAGCAAGCGGCGCAGAAAAGCAGGTCAATCGGCTCCACCAGCAAAGAGACAGAGAGTTGATGATGAGGGATCCTGTCAGTCTGCCAGTGATGATTCATCAGTCGAAATTATGTCAGAGTGTTCAAGCGACGAAGAAACCAACTCGGATTCAGAGAATGAAGCCCCACAGGAAATCATGGACTGTGATTCTGAAAATTCTAGCTCAGAATGATTGATAATTAACTTGAACTTTAGAACCGCTTTTTTATAAAAGTTATAAATAGATCTGAGTCATCTGACATTTGTTTTTTTATTGTTATTAGTGACAATTGACATTGTACTTTCTTCAAGAATACAAATTTAGCGGTTCGCACCTTCCTATTTACATTGCAAAATGGTTAAATGCTCAGGGGTTCTTTTAATGAAAGAGCTTTAATGTTACTGTATAGCCGTTTAATTCATTTGCAGACTCTGACCCTAAGTTTTGCCGCGTACATTCATCTGATTTTCATTTTATAAATTTACTTATTCATAAGTAAAATGTTTATTAATAGAACCTTAAAGTAAGTTTAAGTACAAAGAAGAGGTAACTACGCTTGGTATGTATTCTTCCAGAAACATTGAAATCATGTATAATTTTTATCACGAGCATTTGCGCTTCTTCCTTCAATTTTAATTATACACATTCAGCTTTTATTAAGTCAATATTTGCATGCTAACATATGTGTAAAACCGCTTGACATGTCCTGCTTGATGTGTTATTGTTTTGTCTAGGTAATGTGTATAAAATAAGCGACTAATAATCGTGTGCGCAGTTTGATTTGCCCGCGCGATTGTCCGCGCGCGCAATTTTCTGAGTTGGAAAGCCCTGGATGTACAATATCACATTCGAGCAATACCAAAAATGGTTGCTTATAGCACTTGTCCACTGGGCCAGCTCTTTGTTTCCTTTAACTTTGGCAGCCTACATGATTATATGAAATTATTAATTATACCATAAATATTCACAATATTCAGAAAGTATACATAGTAAAAGATTATTAAACTTATTGGCAATGTTCCCTAAACTATTTCCTTTGTTATTATTAGCATGACAAAGTTACTGGATGCTGATTGGTTGAGAGGAGTACAATTATTTCATTAATTATTTATCTTCTGTAATCAGTGGCAAATACTGCAATTTCATTGGTTTACAGGAGTGCGATTTGAGCATTAATCGCACCTTTTCCGAGCTGTAATCGCACTCTTGTCTACAACCAATGAAAATCAGTCTAGTATTTACAACTAGCCAATCATCATTCAGGATGCAAACTTTGAATTTTATTTTCTTTATTGCTGTAAAAAAATTCAAAATGGAGGAATTCACAATTTTTGAAAATTTTGACCTTTTCATTTTTAAACCAGCCCTCGAAAACCGTCAAAATTGAGGTCGGAAAAAAAATGCCGACCTAAATCTGACCTAGGCTCGGCACATCTCGGCATTTTTAAAAATCTGTTTCCATGTTTTGGAGCACTAGTAGCCTGCACTAGTAATCACATATTTACAAATCATTGAAAAGTATAAATTTCACAAAGGCTTTTCTTTTAGAGTCTTACCTAAATTATATCATAATACCCGTTAATTCTTGTAGGTCGTTGTAGGTCGGCATTTAGGTCAGCATTGCCGAATGCCGACCTCGTTTTCGAGGGCTGTTAAATTATATATTTTCTGACGAAAATGACCTACCTGTTCTTCCAGCAGAAGACACCGAACTAGACACAACCAGGAGTTATATTTCAATCATATTCTGTTTAAAATGAACTAAAGAACTTCACTATTTTGAACACGTTATAAACATGCAAACATGGCTTCCCAATTGTGTGGGTTGGTACAAAACCTGGACCCCCACATTTGGACCCCCTTATGGACCCCCATATGGACCCCCATATGGATCCATTATAATAATTCATTACAAATCAAGCATATTCAGGTTTAGCATATTTCACCAAGGGAGTCTTATTTTTTCACCTGTGATCATGCATGAATTAAAGCTTTTTAGAAGCGAAAAACCACTTTAGTATCTTTGGACACTCTCCTCTCTTAAATTTTCCAGGCATAAATTTTAATTTTAATCTTAACTTTTTCATTATTTTTAACGATTTTTCATTATAATTGAATGGTGACTGCGGGATAATAGTGATAATATGGGATTATAAATGCGTTTTTGACAAATATGAGTGTGAAAGTAAATGCTCTGCGGCGGAGAGTGATCTTTATACACGATTTTAACAGATGACAATGTCTTTCTATTGCTTTCCTTATGGTAAAAGTTAATGATTGAGAATTTCAAGCAAAGAAATGTGAATAACAGGAATTTGTTTGTTTAATAAATATGCCTGTATTACCACAATAACTTTAACTTTGCCTCCGTAAAGGAAAAACCCTGGTAGGAGCTGGTCACTTGATCAGCTAAAATCTAGCAGATTTCTAGTTAGCGTTCAGCTGTGTTGTTTTAGAGAGGGGTGGAAAAGCCGTTGCTGGCCTCCGCTAGCTGTATCATTCTGTTAACCTTCTAACAAGAAAAAGTGCATAGCCTGAGAACGAGGTTGCAATTATCAATGGAAGTTACATGTATTTAATATAAATACGATCTGAGTTGGATTCAACGAAAAGCGAAATAATTAACAACTCAACAAAATGTGTCCATTGCATTAAATGTTATAACTGTCGTATAGTTAACAATGCACATATATGAAACTGGAACGAAGAATTTCATTCCTCAGTTTAAAGTCAGTTTAAAGACGTGATACAACGAAAATTTCTTAGTTCTAGGCTCATGGTGTGAGGTAGCATTATCTGCAGGTTGTTTGCTTGGAAATTTGGATTTCGCCCAACGATACAAGATCTGTTTATGTGGTAGTGTTTATTTTCAAATTTCATGAGCCATTGATTTGTTTTTGCAATAAATACATAATCTTCTTCTTTATGCCTTATGCAATACTGCGAATCCAGATCCAGTGAGGATACGTCTTGCATAGATCGAGAGGTTGGGCCATTCTTCAAATCACCTCTGCAGCCTGCACATTTCCTTATGTTCCCGCTGATTTGTATGAGCTCAACTGGAGTGCTCTCAGTTGGTCGGACTACTGGTTTCTCCGGTCGTGTGGCAGTAACACGAGTTAACTTTACTTTCAAGCTATGGGGATCACAAGCCTCTGCTGAATATCGCAGTTGGGTGCAATCAGGAGGAATTTCTCTTAGTACTTCTCCCAACGTAACTCTTTGCACGTTTTCAACTGATTCTTTCCGCTTATTCCTTTTCCTGGCAGTATGACCAGGCTTTTCCCCCGCATGGCGAGTTGTTTTTGCCATCGATCCCGCAGTTAGATTAGCAGATTTGTCTTTTTCAAGATACATTGAAACGAAACAACGGAGGTCGTGGTTATCAGCAGCTGCAGCCAATGAATGCGAGCATACCGCGTGCATCTTGAATTGGAGACAAGGTGTAGTGCAAACATATTTGTGGCCATCGACACACTTTATAACGTGTGGTTGACCGCCTGACTCACTTGGAACGATACGTGATTTAGGCCCACTGAAACCCTGTCGAATATTCCCATTTAAGATTGTCTCTGCCTTGTCTTTCAATGCAGCTACATGTACATCAGAAAACTTTGCGGTAAGCTTTGAAAGCTCTGTGTTAAGGGAATTACCTTGAACTTCACCTGTATCAACAGTTTTCATTGGAACATCTGATACCTTGTCAAGAAGCTGCTTTCTTGTGGAGGGTTCTAGAGACCAAAAGTCTGAAGGCATTTTTGCATATTTGTACTCCTCCTTCAGTACGTATGAGCCTGACATTTCAGAAAATGCTTTGCCAACATCATGGCGCTGTTTCATCACAAATCCACGAATATCAGTGATAACCTGTGAGACATCTTTTCTCTTACCTTCTAACCAGGTTTTCAAGGAAGCATTCATGGACTCCGGTGCATTATTGTCAAACATGTCCTCTTGGATGCCAACTTCTCGAAGAAGATCTGGTCGGCAGTGGTGGTAAATCGCGTCGGCCTTGTTTTTTTCAAAATAAAAGAAAAATTTCGCATCATCTGGCATCTTTTTCTTTTTCCTTTCTTGCTGCTCCAGCCTGTCCCACTTCACCTTGAGTTTGGATAGATTCAAATCAAATTCAGCACGATTGTTACAATTCACCAATCCTTGGTGCTGCTTATCACCAAACACATCTTTTACAACTGTTGTGTAGAAACTGTTTGACAGATGTAGATCAGATTTGATCTTGTGTTCAATGTTACGCGCAATGTGTGTTCGACAGAGGAAACCGAGGGCAAATGGAAACTCTAACTCCAACGCTTTTATGAGGGCACTTTCTCCGTCAGATCCATAAGCTTTCATGGTGTTTCTCAACTCCGGGCAAACATTTGTAATCTTCTGAAAAAGATGTTGATAAGTTTCTCGATTCCTTTTTTGTGCAAATCATTATTGGTCCAGTCAGAATGGGTTCGGTATTACTTTCCCTGGATAGAAGTTGCAGGTGTCTGTAGGTTGTTACAACTACATAATAGTTTCCTATATCATAAGTCATGTCAGCACAAAAGGGAGAGTTTTGGCCATCCTCATTTGTACAAAATTTGGAAATGTCAGTGAGCTGATCCTTTGTAAAGAGAGTAATGATAGGGCAATTGTCCTCAACTGCCACTCCTTGGATAAATTTTTCTTTCTCGTCGTACTGCATGGCAATAACTTCACCAATTGGATCTCCTGATTTTTTATTGATTTTGCTGCTTATGTACTTGCCTTGGCGTTTGTTTCTCGGGAGAGATGACTGAGACGATGCCATAAGCCCCCCTGCATCATCTTCTATAGTATGCACAGCTCGTTTTATACTGCTGTGTTGTTTTAACGCGGCAGTCAGCTTTTCCAGGGTACTCTTCTTCGTTGGTACGAATGGGGTGCCATTCTTGGAATTCCTGTGTGGCTTATTTTTAACATCGTGTGGTTCACCATCAAAACGATATTGCACGAGAGCGAAGGGGTGTGTCAAGCCATCAGGTTTACAAACTGTTATCACCACTCTATGAAAATCACAGGCTGAATCATGGACGAATCTATGTCGCTTGACCCTGTACACATCATCCGATTGGTTTGTTGGATACACGATCACACTTCGTTCTTCATCATACGATATTTGTATTTCTTTTCCCTTGCACCACTTGTTGCAGTCTAACGATGATCGTCTTGCCAGTCATCTTTTATTTGAAGCATGTCTACGATCAATATCTTGTCAGTAACTATCCCAGCTGGTAAACATGAAAGCGCACTTGTTTTGCAGTCGGGAGCAAGAAGTATCTTCAATGCTGACACATTATCCATCACATCTTTTCCACTTGGAGAAACTTGTGCTTTGCTGTTGATGAAAAAAGTTTTAATCTTATATACTTGTTAGTTTGGCCAATACCGTAAAAATGGAATTAAGCATATAAAATTAACAGTAGAAGTGGATCTGAAGATAGAGAAAGATGGTTATCATTGAAGAAAGTGAATGTAGTACAGTAATTTCGCTTGGCATATTTTTATCAATATTTTTCATTAGTTGCTGTGCTGTTTCAATATCGCTGAATTCAACAACGATGTGAAATAACCTGTAGCCATTATTTTCCCCCAATAAGTTCAGCAAACATTTTTACTTATATTCAACGTTAGTGAACATCTTGGTTTCTAGTATCAAATCCCTCAGAAGAACAGCAGTCATACTTCTCTAACCGTCTTTTTTCTGAGCAACTCCATGTTTTTTCATCGAATTACCCCAAGGCACAAATCACGATGGTATTTGCAAAAGTGGCAAATGTAGCAATGAAAACAATATAGAGATAGGCTCAGATAGTCTTACCTATCACCAGCTGCTACAGTACATGTATCTGACTCTGTGCTATCACTGTCTTCTTCCTTAAAAACGTTTGATAGATCTTTCAGAATTCTAGGCAAGAAACATCAAGTTAATAAGTTCTTTGCACGTTTGCATGGCGATAAAACATACAATAGTTTTGTTTGTGGAAACACCACGTAATTTTACATAATTTACGTGGTGTTTCCACAAACAAAATGATTATAAACATTAAGATATTTATACTGTAATTAAATGCCTACTTTTGATATACTGGGCATCCAATATAAAATAACCATCGTATTGAGTAAAAAATTATGCAGAACTAATACCAATCCGTATCCCCTTTTTCCCTTTCTATTCTTGGTTTTTTAACTGGCGTCGATTCCAAAGACGACGACGATAAGGAAAAAATAACATCATCTAAATCTTCTTTAACAACCTTCTTTGCCGGTACACTAACAGGTTTCTTTCGTTTTTTTGATGGACTATGGGTAGATAATAAGATCCGAAAATCCGTCTAAAATACTCGCCAGATCCGAAATACGACCCATTTTTTCTGTGAAATCCGACGATCCGAAAACCTATTCAACCCCCCCGTACATATAAATCACAATTCACAATGATTTAATATTTACGATTTTTTTATTAATTCGGTTACGGTTAGGGTTAGAGTTAGGGTTGAGGTTAGGGTTAGTGGTTAGAGTAGGGGTTGGGTTAGTTACATTTAAGAAATATAAAACATTTTCCGTGTTTCTATAGAGTTATAGAGACACGCGTGCTAGTTTGGGAGAAAGAGAAATAATCAGTGGGAACACGAGCACGTAGTGCGAGTGTTTCCACGTTATTTCGAGTTCTCCCAAACTAGCACAAGTGTTTCGATAACTCTATAGAAACATAGGAAAAATGTTTTCTATTTCCTTTATTAAATAACCTTGTGATAATAACACAAAAACAATATTTTTAACATGATTAAAAAGTATATTCTCATTACACAATAACAAGAAAATGTTGCCTAGCAACAATCCCGGCATCAATTTTCAGTTTTGCCGACTGCAAAATTATGGAAAAAAACACGCTGAAAAAGTTGATTTAAAGAAAATTTAAAGCGAAAAAACGTTTGGTAAGTGTTTTCCATTGCTTCTTTAACAAAATTTCAGGTTGACGAAGATTTTTAATCGATATTTCAGGCGAAAACGTTTGCTTTAGTGTTCAACTTATAGAATTCTAGACTGCCGGGCATCTAGTATTTTGAAAATACTTCCGGCGGCTGCCGGGCATGTAGACACAGGGTTTTGTTTTTACTTGCAAAGGATAAATGAAGGCAAAAAAGGGCATTTTACTCACCACATCAGTGTACCTACAGCTTCCAAGCGGGCAAACGAAAGCAGTTATCATGCATTCATCTTCCGAATCGACGTGGATGGGCTCTAATCTTTGACTATTAATTCGCTCCATTGTAATAATTCGCTGCAACAAAGAGCATAATATTGCGATGTAGAAATCTATTACACATCGAAAAAAGTACTTCTATATTACACTTTACCAAGTTCTTTTCAATACATTGAGATGAATATGGATTGTAGCGTTAGAAATATCAAGATTTATTTAGATCAATGCATATTTATAAGGAAAAATATATCTTCTCACCTTTTGTTTTCCGGCCATAGCACATGTCTTTGTCCCCAATGTCCCGCTGTCAGACGGTCAGCGGAAATACAAAGAATGATGCAATCCAAAAAGGCAAAACGGCGGGAAATAACCGAAAATGGAAGCAACAATTTAGACTGATTTCCTCTATTCCAATATTCGCCGCGGCTTTAGTTTGGTGCAGTTTATCAGTCTCTTTTGGGGTCCATAAGGGGGTCCATATGGCAGTCCATAAGGGGGTCCATATGGGGGTCCATTAGGGGGTCCATATGGGGGTCCAAAAGTGGGGGTCCAGGTTTTGTACCGACCCCAATTGTGTGTTGAATAATTCAAATAATGTTGTCATGTGATTATACCAGAAATAATACCCGGAAGTTAATAATATGTTAATTTGATTATGATAAATTTAATTCAAAATTGTACTATTTCACTAAGAATTGTCGTGACAAAAATTTAATAATTATATTGAATTTCAACAATTGTATTTTTGTGCTTTTCCCCCTTAAATAGTTTGATTACAGAAATATATATATTGTTTTGGAATGTTGACATTGTTTAAAATTTAATAAGTCCTACCCCCCCCCCCAATTAGGATAGGTAAAAAGGACTGGACACGAACGGTCGCGCTGAGAAAAAGAGAGCATGGTCAGGGTTCTTTTGTAATGTTTGTGTTCGAAAAATACAGTGTTTAAAAAGGTTGTTTATTGACTTTAAAACCACGCAAAGAATCCAAAATAGTGAAAAGACAAGTTCTATACGAGAACAAGTGGTCCTTCGACGAGCCGGATCTGGCAAAATTACGGGTTTATTTGTGTGGTTATTGCGACCTCGACGAATTTGAAGCGATATGGCTGACCAAAACGGCGAAAAACCTCCGAGTTTACCGGAAAATAATGACGAAACAACCAAGCAAGGCACCGACGAAGTAAAGAGCCAAGTAAGTACGAAGAGTACACGGTATTTAAAGCTTAAAAATAGGAAGAAAGCTGCAAAAGCTAGACTGACAAAAGCACGAAATAAAGCAGCCATGTTGACCACAGGACACCCAAGTACCAAGACCGAAATTAGACGTGCTATAAAGAAAGTAAAGGCTGAGAGTGCTATAATTGAAAAGATTATTTATGCTTTAAAAGAAACTGTTGTTTTAAGTGATGAGGCGTTAGAAGGAACAGACGTAGACACTGTAATGGAAAATTTAGACAAAGAATTATGTGACATTATGGACTTAGTTGACACTACTATAAAATATGCCAATGACCACATTAAGGAACGACTTGTCAATGGTGAAGATGAATCGGAAGTATCCACAATCGCGTCAAGTAAAATATCTGTAAATTCAATGGCAACAAAGTCATCCCATACAAAGTCATCCCATGCAAAGTCATCCCATGCAAAGTCATCCCATGTAACCCCCCCTAAGTCAGTAGAAAAATCTGTTGTTGAGACACAGCAACAAGAAGTGAAAGATGCGAATGATAGGCTAAAGCAGCTTGAAAAAGATCAGCAAGCATTAGAGCAAGAACTACAGAAAAAATGTGAGACTTTTGAACTCAATAAAGAAAGAATAAAGGATGCACGTTCGATAGTATTTTTGAATGAAGCACGAGCTAAAGCCACTGAACGGTTAGGCAAAGTGACTGAAGATGTTACTGTATTACCTGTAAAAAATAATCAGAATTCACCTGAGAACATGACACTACCCCAAGCATTTCCCTTTGGATTGCCGCCGACCTCTACACATGTCAAACTGAAAGGCGTAGAG